GCCTCTCTACTTCGAAGGACTCGCGGGCCACTTGTGCATCCTCGGCTCTGACCTGCTCCGACTCTGCCGACAGTTTTAACTCTAGCGTCATGTTCTCGTTCAGGCGGCGATCGCGATCTGCCATAGCTACTCGAACTTCACGGGAGGCGAGATCAACAAGAGTGGAACTCTCCGCACGAAGAGCGAGCAGCTGCCGAACAGCCCCCTCCACTTCGTTCAGACGCTGAAAATAGGGCCTCGCCGCGGTAGCACCGAGCCTCTTACGCAAGAAGGACGCATCGTGTTCAAGAACTTCCTTGAATTCTTCGAAGGGGTAATTCTCCTCCAAAACCAGCCGGGTGCAGTGGGCCAAAGTATCTTCGAAATTCGCCAGAGCTCGCTCCACCTGCGTTTTTCGCCAGCGTTCCAAGGGAGAGAGGGCGACCTCCTCCGCCGTGGACGAAATCACGGTCGAGGTACCTATAGCCATAACCGTAGGGGTGGTAACGGGCACCACCGGAGCCGGTGCGACCAATGACACCCTCGGTGCAGTGGTCACAACGTCAACGGCCGCCGTCGACGGAGAAATGGTCACCTGCAGAATGGGGGCCTCCCGTTGAAGCGGAGACTCTCGCGCCCGACGCTTCCGCAGGAGCAGGAGATCCCCCTATTTGGCCAGGCGCGTCCTCAAGAGCCAAATCCTCTTCCTCGCTGGATAATGCTTCATGAACCGAGGCATTGTCATCCTCCTCAGATTCGCCCGCCTCCCCAGATGAGCGGTTTGCCCAAGAGTGAGGATCCTCCTCACCTGCGACTTTGCGGGTAGAATCAGCTACGAATACACGAAAAGAGGTTAACGGAGACCCCTCGAAAGGGACCCTGCTAATGGTCGGGTACGAAAGGAAAAGTGATGCTAAAACACACGCTTACCTGAGCTGGTAGGCCCCTCCTCGTCTCCATCCTCCCCTTCTTCGTCGGAAGGAATGGAGATCACCTTCTCAATCGCGCCTGCATAGGTCCAATACCAATGTCAAAAGGTATGAGATCATCGTTGCGATCAAAGACGCTGTTGCAAAAATTACCTCCTGATGTGATGCGGACACAGAAGCCGCTGGAGCTCCCGTCGGTGGCCTCTCGCCAGATCGCGGAGGAGCGTCTCTCGTAGTCGCCAGAACCGCCCCCGATGCAGCAGAAGAGGCGGGCAGCACGGCTCCAGACGTCGCCGCTCCGGGGATACCCACCTGGGGAACATCATCCTGACCTTCCGCCGCTCGGACGGTTTCCGCCATCTCATCACGACGGACCTTCTTAGCCGCCCCCGCTCGGGAACTCTCAGCCACTGCCTCCCGCTGACGCTTCGAGAGAAGCGAGCTACTCGGGGATAGCAGAGGCGCCCCCATTTGTCCGATTGTCGGACTCTGGACTGGAGCTCGAATCTCGGGAACCTCAGATTCGTCCAAACCAGCATCAAAACCCTCGGAATCCTCAACTGGATCCTCCGAGAACAACTCCCTAGCGATTTGGTGGCCCCTTCGCCTCGAAGAACGGAGAGGACCCCTGACAGGACGATCGCGTTCCACCAGACATGAGTTCTGGAACCAGAAATTGGCAGGATCAGCACTAGCGCCCCGATACCAGCGGCAGTATAAGAGCGTGTGGTGTAAATCGCGGTCCTTCGCGAGCAACTCAAAGCGAGCCTGGGTGCCTCCAGCATGGGTCCAGAACCATCCCCGAGCTCCGTCAACCAGTCCTCCTTCGAAGTTTAGGTGGGGATTGGCATTACCCACATACAATTGATCGTACCCAAACTGGCGGACGAACCTGCAGGGGATGTATGGCTCGAGATAGCATGTAGGGCCCATTCTCAGAATGTGATACCCCGGTCGGATATTCACCAACCAGCGAAAGGCACCACGAGTAAGGACCGTGTAGTGATCCGCCGTCGGCGCATCCCTAAGAGATTCTCCATATCCGCCCCCGCTGAAATAGGGGAAGTAGCGGTGAAAATTATAATGCCCGAAGTGGGAGAGCGTCTTCCTGGCATCAGGGATGTCCTTGCATTTCCAAGAGCACCTCTCCAAGCGCTGGACGAAGGGGACAAACTTATCGCCCTGAAGCACCGCCGGGGCGCTCATCAAACATTCGTAGTGGTATACAAACCACGCCATCAAGTAGGTGTACGGTAGCCCCACCCTAGGATTGGGAGTTTTCATAACTACTCCTTCCCCCTCATCAAGGACCGACACACAGAGTACGGAGCCCTCGATGAATGCACGCTATCGTCGCCGATACCAGGGAATAAGACTTCCCGTGAGCTAGGCAAACCGCCGGATACACGACCTCCACAGGGAGAGCCTCAAAGGAATGAGTGGGGATTACGCACCTCTTCAACCATAACATGAGGTACCCCGCGAGCAACGCCTTCCCCGAGATGAGAAATCTCGCCTGATGATAGAATGAGTGAAGGACCGTACCAGACTGAAACCCGCCCTCGTCGCGGTCAAGAGTCATGGTGCTTCCTTCTTTAGCTATCCTCGCCTCCACTTCGGGCTGGTCGCACGCGCCTAACGGGAGGGCGGGCTTCCCCTTGACATCGTTCCCTGGGAACAGATAATCAGCCCAATTCTTGTGGCTGATCCCCGGGGTCTTCTTCTTCTTCCCTTTGTGATCCGATGACCCCAAAGTACTCAGGCAGATGTGGTAGTGGCAGAGTAACTCCCACAGAGTTTCAACCGCCAAAGGGGAATGGTTCGACAGCTGATCGATCTCATCCTGATCGGGGACGTACTCCTCGTAAGGAAAGTCACCCAGAGGCAGCCCCGACACGTCGCACATCTCGTGAGGGGTGATACCAAGCTCACCATTGGGGGTGAAAAATATGCCGCTTTCCGCGCAATACAATTCCAGGATGCTATGGAACTGAGAAGCGTTGATCCGCAGGCCGTGTCGAGTGGCTTCGATGGCCACATACAGCTCTGTGTCCTTGAGGTCAGCATTTTTGGCCAGAACATAGTCGGTGATCTTGGACCACCATGTGTCACTGCCAGGTGCAGAGTAGACCCACCCCGGGGCTCTAAAGTCCTTCGGGGGAAAGCTCCCACCAGCTCGAAAGAAGCGGTGACGAAAGGTCTCCGCCACCGCTGTCGACTCCCCCACGGGCGGTTCGGCGGACATTAAGCCAGGGCGCAGGCCCGTCACGTGCTTGCACGAACTCTCCACTCCATACCCGGTCGTAGAGCCCGTAAAGACGCCACAAGTGACCCCGTCCTGAGAGGGGGTCAAATCCCAGCTCATCGTCCGAGGAATGAGCCAGGCTTGGGCAGAATAGCAGAGCAAGTACAAGTATTAGTAGCATAGCAAAAATGTTTCCCAGATGTGGATGAAAACTCATTTTTCTAGGCGCATTTGGCGAAGGACCGCAGCTCGACGATCGAAAACCCTCTCGACATGCTGGGGAGGTAATAATGAACCCCCTCTACCGTGCGGAACCACCGGCTCTCTTTGAGCAACAGGGCGGAAGGGTCGGCCATAGCGTCGCCGAACAAAAATTGAGGCTTCGGCAGCTCTGCCCTGTCCTCATCTGTCAGCGCCGCGTTGGTCGTCAACTCGCGTAATGTCAAGTGATGACCATCCGTGACTCTCT